ATAGTGATTAATTTCAAAGGGAAAAAATTAAGGTTGTGACTGAAGAAATGGCTTGTGTGGGAGTTTTGGTGCACTGGTAGTTTTTCTTTCTTAATCTGGATGAAACCAAATCAATATGAAATTCCTGAAATTCTGTAATATGCACCTTTATATTTTATGCACTTTTCTGATAGTATGATTTTAGAAGAGGGATATGTTTTAGAATAAAAATATGAAAATGTCATGAACATGGGTGACCATTATAAATCTAGAGAGGTGTTTGATATTGTTTCTTGAGATCACTTCAGACCTGGTTGGTTTCCTGGAATTTAAAAAAAAAAAAAACAATGACTTACCTTCCTATGACTTTTTCCTATGACTATCACTGGTTAAAAGAATATCCATAAAGATCCCAATTCTTGCCAGAAAAGGCCATGGAATGGAATGGTTATAGGTCTTTTCTGCTGAGAACTTTTATTTAAAGACATGTTTTCATACTTTTATTTTATGAAACTATATTGATAGTAAATATTTTTTCTTCTAATTGAAAATTAGTCATTCTTTTCAAGATGGCTCCATAAGTTTACACAATGATGCAGTTTTTTTCTATAAACATATGAATGAATATACAAATTCTAGAAAAAAGACAAAAGAGCAGAATTAACATAATGGAGACTGAAAATATAGAAAACAAAAATGTCTGCACTAAGAATGTTTTAGGAAATAAAATAAAAAATAAAATATTTCTTTGGGAAAATGAGATTTTACATTTCTCATGCTCCATTAGAAGATATCAGGTTCAATGTTTAGTTTTTTAATAGCTGCATTTACTATTTCAAAAACCTTAGGAAATGAAAGAAACTTAAAAATGAGTGATTTTTTAACCCACAAAAATATAACAAAGCTATAATAAAGCTATACTTAAAAAAAGAATAAAACTCTCACTGCTTTAGAACTGATTTCTACCTTCAATTTGTTGTGAGATCTTTCTATTTTAAGTACTTGGATGAAATTTTCAGAGTCATTCAATGAAAGTAGCTAGAAGAGTTTTGAGAGCAGAGTAGGTAATGCCACACTTCTCAAAACCAATAAACACACTTCTCTCTTCTACAATAGTTGGAGTAAGTGAACTATGCATAACAAAATACGCATTCCAAAAATATAGAAGACATGGTCACAGTAATGCTGTTTGAGCAATTCTTCTACAGCCTAGAGATACAAATCACAGGAAGATATTTTGTTACGACCCCTCTCCAAATTCATTGCGTCAGGGCTCATCAGACCCATTGGATCCTACATTTTGGTAAAGACACTGAACAGAGGAGGAGTAGATTTTTAAATCCGCATTTCAAATAGGTATTTTTGTTTAAACCACAAATCTGCTCCATTGTTTTATTTGAAAAGGAATATTTTTAGAAATATACCCTACAATGGAAGGTTTCTTAAATTGCGGTGATTCATCACCCCCCCCATCAATATGACGCTGAGCAATGTCTACAGAAATTTTTATTCTCAGAACTGCTGCCATCTACTTTTACTGGTGGCACCTAATGGGCAGAGCTGTGTATGACGTTAAGTATCACCCAAGGTGCGAGGCAGTCCCCGCTGTGATTACTTGGCCATCAGTGTCAGAGTCTAGCTTGAGAAGTCTTGCAACAAATTTGTGCTACGATTCATACGTTCTCTGGATAGGGCCTCCCGCAGACTCTTTCCGGAATTTCAAAGTACCCTCCTTATGTCCATTAGGTTCTGGGTACCCTCGCTTTGCCTCAGATACTTCCTGTCCAGACAGTGGTAACAACATGAAAGATGAAAGTAGCTTTCCTTATGACATAACCCAGAGGTGAATGCACACGCAATTTTTCCATAATAATATTTACACCACTGAATTTTTAAAAAAGGGCCTATTAAATAAAGAAGTTGCATAGCATTACCCTTTTCAAAACATTTGAGTGACTCAAAATATAGTTCAGAGGGCGTGAAAGAAAGGAATTTTGATAATGGAATAATCGGCCATCTTAAATCCGTCTCTGCCCTTCTGCCAAACTAGCTCCATAGTGGGATACTCTAATGTTTTTCAAACAAAATGAAGAATGTAACTATATAACAATCAATCCCAATGTCAGTTTCTAGCACTTCTGACCACGGATGTATCCCCATGACACCAAAACAACCTTCACCATCTGGAAAGTTTGAAGTAATGCAGTTGTCTATTCTCGATACTGATACCGGAAGCAGCACTAAACCGAGTCACCCTTATCTTCCCTGGGATCGAGTTTGTCTCTAGAGAAAACACTACATAACTTTGTGGTTTTTGTTTTGGCTTTCCTCAAAAGCAGCCAAGAATTCCAGGATTTATGAACTCTAGGACTTCAAAAGCAAATATTGGAAACCGTATTATTAACAGTATTAGTAGTAGTCGTAATGCTACTTTTTAGAAAGGTCAAAGGGAAACAATGCTGTGCAATGCTTTTGAAACCATTTTCTTCTCCTGGCAGAGGACAGCAGAAGTACCCAGTGCAAAGGGGCTGCCTCACCCAACATCCTGGCTCTCATTTTAAATACTAGCAGAGAGCAACCTCTGAATAAACTCTCCCATAGTCCATGCGTCTATAAAAAAGATCTATTCAACGCTCTTGGGAGGTGTCCTGGGAGCCATAAGTGCGTTTTGATCAGAGAATAGCAGCTGACAAATAGAAATTCGGAAAAGAAACTCTGCTTTTCCATTGAAGCTGCTGCAGCTCCCCTTTGCAAGCCCGAAGGGTGGTGGTGCCCCTTAAAACTGCTGCCTAGCGCCATTCTTGGTCTGGAGATTACTCCTCTTTCCTCCCCTCGGGCCAGTCCTTAGACCCAGAAGAAGTCTCATCTTTGGGAAACCGCAGTTAGGAGCGGCTGCCTTTGATAGGCTGTCCTGGAAAACTCTGGCACCTTTACCCCTGCGTCAAGCAGCACTAAAGCGAGTCACAGTGCAGGAAGGTGCACTTCACCCTTATCTTCCCTGGGATCCAGTTTGTCTCTAGAGAAAATACACCATAATACTGCCTAGTTTTGCCCGCGTACATGACCTGTCGATTCTTCTAATCCCGCGTTTGCCCTAGATTATTTTAATCTTTATCCACCAGTGAGCCGCAGGAGAAGGGAACAGGCAGCTAAGGAGATGACAGACAGCGTTACCTAGGTATTTGGCACCGGTATTAGCGCGAGTCTGTCATTTGACAATTATTTCCCTAGCACGCCAGACGGTAAAGAAAATGTTTTCATTCCTCCGCAAATGACTAACATTTGATTGATATTTCAAAACGAGGCTGGATAAGATTGCACTTTCGATTTCCGGGAGGTCTGGAAACTGCACGGAGGACTCCTGCAGCCTCGGAGCCGGGTGTGCAGGGAGGTACTGCGGGCTGGAGATCGGTAGGTGCGGGTGGTCACGGCCCGTGGGAACCCTTGCGGGTGCCCACGCTGGGCCGGAAAAGTCCCCCAGCACTGCGTCCCGCGCCCGCCCCGCCGAGGTCGCT